GATCATTTTTATTCACAAACGTTTTAAATAAATTTATTCCCTACTTTATTTAGAAAAAAATATAAGTTAATAAGTAATTATCATTTGGTTAAAGATCATTGTGATTTTAATCTTTTGTATTTCTAATTTTTTCAATTTCTCTCTGCTCGACAGTTAATATTACATAATAAAATATTATATACACCTTTAAAAGTTTCTCTCAGGACATTATTTCTTCTTTTATCTTTCATTTTTATTACACGCTATTCATTACCTAAATAAAATTTAGTTTCGGGAGAATCATCGATTAAAATATCATTGGCAAGGACATTGGTAATTTAGAATTTTTTTTATAAGTAAAAGCGTAAAAAGAAAATAATTCCGAATGAAAAAAGAAATTTGACACTGCAATAATTACCATGACACCAGGCTAATTAGTATTCAGTCCGGACGGCTCGGTTTATTACACGCCACCAATTCGTATGCAGGGAACGTAGAACGCGTCGTGCGTTCTGTCGAATCGATTTACGCCGACAAAACAAAGAAATCTCATAAAATGGCAATATATATTATACAACTGCTAATTAACTCCGGATAGAGGAAAGAGGATGATTAATTTTTAAACGGTGTACATCTTTATCGAAATCGTGTCAATGTTCTCGTACTTGGATAATTATTCTCCCAAAACTTTATCATAGATATAAATTTTTATTATACAATCGTATCGTATCTGAAGAGATAAGATATTATAAAATATCTTCGAATATTTTAGAGATATTCCAATTATTAAAAACGCTCGAAGAAATATCTCCAAAATGTTTAAAAACCAAAAATTGTCAAAAAATCCTATCCAATTTTATAAAATATATCGCCAAATAATTTCAAAAATATTTCAAAAATACAATTGAGTAAATAATTATCGTTCGAAGGAAGAAAAAAATTAAATTTATATTCCACAGAATCAAAATATCAAGATGTACAAAGATTTGGAAAATTCCCAAATCGTTCTCCTTTCCACTGGACTTCAATTATTTACAACAAAATGGACCGGTTTTCTGACACGATGCCTTAAACGAATAATACTGAAAAAGAGAGAAAATCGGCTATCGTTCGTGTTGTTTGCGTTCAATTGATTTTTAACCAGCATCTCTTCCTTTGGCTCCCTGTTTCGTGTTCACGACAGAGATCTTGTGGAAGGGAAGGGGCAGGTTGCCGATGTCGATGGTTTTTTTCTGTAAATATGATAATGATACCGCAGGATGGCCCCGACGACGCGTGGAACGATCGACAATTAACGAGCACGATATGCTTGCCCTTCATTTAAATATAAACGTAGCATGGTGGACGAGAAAATGGCGCTTTTTCGACGAGTTGTCTTCAGGCGATTACTGTCTTTGAATTGATCTCCATTTTTTTTTTGAGAAACGTTTCTTTCATATTTTCGTTTCGATCGTGTTTTATTAGGGAACCGTTTATTTATTTAAATCTGATAGAAATATTTAATTTAATCACGGAACAGATATTTTTTCAAATTAACGAGGAATTAATTTTAATGAATGAGAATTGAATTTGAAAATATAGAATTTGTTTCTATTTATTCGAATTTGGTAGAAATATTTAACGCGAGATATTTATCTTTTCTTTCTTGAATCTGAAAATTCAAGAAATTGTTTATCTCTTCGTTATTTCTTGCCAAGTAAATAATAATTATCAAATTTTGGATAAACGTCAGAGAAAAAAGAATTACCTTATATAAAATTACAAAGGAACAAGATCGAGACTTTTTTCTCTTATTAATCTTTTGACAGAGGATGTTATTAATATCAGCAGATAATTGCATTTGTATGAAATAAGATAAATACATATCACGAAATTTCTCAGAAAAATAATATGCACGTGTACATAATATATATATATTTTTTTACTTTCAATAATAATAAATTAAAGGAAAAATACGTATATTTCACACAAACGTCAATATCCATCGATACATTGATTAAATAACTGTTATTAAATTTCTTCGAGTAAGTAAATTCTTGGACCAGTTCTGGTTCAAAATTCGTGCTAATAAATAAAGAAGTAAGAGAGAGATTACCTAATTTAAAATACAGATATAATAAAGTGAGTTGCAAAAGCCTCGATAAATTATCTTATACAAAGAAATTCATCTATTCAACTCGACTACTCTAGAAAGTCGTTGTGTCTATAGAGCATAACTGACTTATACCTGCAATTTATTTCTTTGAAACTTCATTCTTCAACACTTATTATTATTATCAAACATTTTAAAATTTATATATCTCGTACAAAATAAATAACATAACTCGTAAAGATTGATCCCATCCTCCTCTCCAAATAATATTATTAAATAAATCGTTTCACGCGTATAAATAAATATAAATCCATTACACGCTCTATATATATATATATATTCATACATGATTTCCCACGAAATGGAATTATCTCCGAATAACATAACAATTTATCTCGTTAAAATATCGCGCGAATAAAATATAAATAAAATCGTTTTTTCCCCGAAATCGAAGGAAACACGATCATACAAGAAAATCAAAACAAGATCGCTTTCTAAACGAACCCCACCCACCCACGCCCACGCCACATCAGAAGAGGAAGCTGACAAACCCGTTTAAACTCACAAAACGCGGGAGTGTTCGCACGAGACTAATGAATTCGTCGC